ATGTTCTTGCTGCTAGTTTGAGCCTCACATTTCATTTGTGCAGTGGGAATAATGAGAACCTACTTCATAGGGTTGGTATGATAAGAGAGCTCATACATTAATGATTCACATGTAGTAAGGGATGGGTAAAATTCATCCTCTTCTTCCCTTTATGGATTCTTTTGAACATGTGCCCTTGCTACCCATGACTATTCCCTGATGCCTAACAAGGAACTTTAGTTAGGTTATTGGTGGAGCTTGAGCTTAGGTCTTCCATCTAGTGAGAACAAGCTGCTGCTCTGGTTATTAAGCAGAGTTTATCTCATTCATTCAACCAATATTTTTAAAGACCTGTTTATAAAAAACCTTAGAATAAGACTAGTTTGTGATCGCTGAGGTGTAATTTTAACAGTTCCTTGCTTTGCCAGGGTGCTGCATTGTCAATGCTCTGGGAGAAGGCATTGGAAGCCAGAATTTTAAAACAAAATCTCCTGTTATGAGGGTGGGTTGCTAACAATGACCATCATTACAATGGAGCACAACCTTGGTCAACTAACCAACCACCCAACAGGCATTTAAAATCATTGGAACAAATACTGCAGAAATTCCGATGAGAGTGGGTGTGTCTCTTTTCAAAAACTTGAAGTTCTGCCCTGCCAGGCCCTGCACAGGACAATATACTTGGAGACATAGCTGGGGCCCTGCTAGGCTGAGTGTCCCATCAAAGAGCTCTGGAAATGCTTGGCAAAGGGGGTCACAGAAGAAAGGGTATCTGCAAGAAGCCTGCAGGTTACAATCTTTTTTTCAATACTGAACATAAACAGAAAGAGTTTGGGCCTTATGTTAATGAAAAAAATACATGTTTCTTTTCTTTTGATATTCAGTAGGATACGTTATTATTATTATTATTATTATTATTATTATTATTATTATTTTAGATGGCATCTTAGTATATTGCTTTGGCTGGTCTGGAACTCAAGGAACTAAAGTGATTTTCTTGCCTTGGTCTCCTGAGTAACTGTGACTGTAAGCACCTGCCACCATGCCTGACTAGAATGCATTCTTTTATGACTTTTAAAATAAATCAGTACACACATACACAAACAAATGCTGCAGGTGTGTGTTTTTGTGTGTTTCTTCCCCCTGGAAACTCCAAGTCTACAACTGGTTTAATCATTGCCTTAGAAACTCTAAGATAAGACTTGTGTTGATGAAGGCTTAAGAAATTTTGAGGGACTAGTCGCTGTCATGTCTCTAGTATGTAGGTTAATAATCCAGTTTTGAGTCACGACAAATTGAGTAGGCTGCTCCTCATTCATCTTATGGAATGATTTTTTTGAAAATCATGAACTAATAGACTCGCAGTTTCCAGCTTTGAGCAGGGCTAGTGTCATTGTATCTTCAGTTCTGTCCAGTTAGCACCTAGCTTTGTTTCCTTGATGATTAAATGTTAGCCAGCCCTTTGAGTGTCCCCCTCCTACCTTCCCAGTCACACAAGCCTGCTATAGCCCCTGCCCGTCCTGGATCCTTCCACTCGTGTGGCCCAGGTAGTCTCTTGGCCTCTTGTGACTAATTTGTGCTTTCTTCTCTGCCTTTGTAAACAGCCCAGATCCCTGTGTTTATCTTTTCCTTCCTTGCTTCTAGGACAGTGGTGGTAACCTGTGGAACACGTGCCATAGCCAGCGGTTTGTTATCATTGACAACTCTAAAAGACTCAACAGCACTGTCTCAGGACATGTCTGTACTGTCAATGGATTGAAATAAAAATTTAAAATAATAAATACATAGAAACAAGAAACCAAGTCAGTAACAAACCAGCAGAACATGTCCTTGGACCAAATTTGGGCTCTTGATGTTGGATTTCTTCTGTCTCTTGGACTTTGAGAGCCAGCTAAAGTAATTTCCATATAAAAATAAATGAAGGTGACATTTTAAAAATCCAGAATGAATGTTGTAATGATGTAATGCTAATTATGAAAATGGATATCACAGTGTTTTATTTTTACCTTTACTAGTATTCTTAGAAGCAAGTAAACAGAAGCTTGTACATATTTGGCAATAGTAGAACTTATTAAGTAATATTGTGATTCTTATAAAATTGCTCCTATTTCAAAATAAAGTTCTTTTGCAGGAGTTCCTGAGTCACTTCTTGTGTGCTCAGAAATGACTGAATGCCAGGATTTGAAAGTTGTTAGAAATTTAAGGGAATTAGACATCAATCTCCTGGTGGCAAGTGAATTGTGTATTTTAACTTTTGACTCACTGTTCTACTGGACAGCTTTCTTTTCCCTGCCTTCCTTCCTTCCAGTACTGGGAATTGAACCCAAGGCCTTCACACAGCACTACATCCTCAGCTCTGTTTATTTATTTTTTGAGACAAGGTCTTGCTAAATTGTCCAGGCTGGGCTCCAACTTGCATCCTTTCCCGAGTGCTGGGATTATAGGCTCAGCCTGCTTTCTTACTAGCGGTGATCACTAGCCTTCCCTAGCATGTGCTCTCCTAAGCAAGACAAGTGGCTCCTTCCTGGCATAGGTGTCTTAATTGCTTTCTAGTCCAGATGTCCTCAAAACAACCAGTCCAGTGAGAGAGAAAGGGCACCTGCATATCACACTTTCAGCAAAGTATGGCCAAGGACAAATTCCAAACTCTGAATAGATATTTTAGAAACATTGTTTCCTTTGTCTGTTGGGCTAGATTTTATGCAGGTGTACCTAAATTTGGACAAAAGATATGTTCTAATAGAACTCTCTGTTTTAAAGGATTTCAAGGTGGATTTTTTTTCTTTTTATTGAGTTTATTGGTACAATCTAGGTATACACTACAGTTACATTCATTATTGATCCTGTATATTTTCCTTTGTCTGTTGGGCTAGATTTTATGCAGGTGTACCTAAATTTGGACAAAAGATATGTTCTAATAGAACTCTCTGTTTTAAAGGATTTCAAGGTGGATTTTTTTTCTTTTTATTGAGTTTATTGGTACAATCTAGGTATACACTACAGTTACATTCATTATTGGGATCCTGTACCTTTACATGACAGGTCTTGATTCTCATTTTTTCCCCAAGGTGGCTTTCTTTTTAAGCAGTGACTGCATCTATACAATCACCCTGCATTTACCCCTTTATATGTTCAATTTTTTCCCCAGTAGATTTGTTCAGAGAAATTTGATTGTAATTTGGTTAACAAATGCATTTTCTTTATAAAGGGCACTTTGAAAAGTTCTACATTAAGTAGATGGATTTGGACACATTGCAGTTATTAAATTTATAGCATGTTTTCTCTGCAGTAAGAAATTGGCAACCTCTCCAGATGGGCTACTGTACATGTATAAGTAAGTTGAAAAATGATTAGACTCTCTTAATTCATTCTTTTCAGTGCTCAGATCTAATGAACCTGAGGTCTTGCACATTCTAGGCAAGTACTCTGCCACTGAGCTACAGCCCCACCTCTCTTAATAATTTCTTATGTCAGTGTAGAAACGTCAGCCCTAGGAAATAGAGATGAAAGAATTTATTGTGTACCTACTGTGTTTCCAGTCCTGGAGTATTTTATTATCAAGTGCAACTCAGTGTAAGATTTGAACCTGCTGGTTCTAAGACTGAACTAACTAAATTCAAATCTCAGCTTCCCCACTGGGGCAAGGATTCAGTGTGAGAAAGTGTATAAAGCATCTAGCCCCATGCCAGTGCAACAGTGAGCCCTTGATAAGTACTAGCTGCTCAGTGTATCTTAGTCCATTTAATCCTGTGAAGTAGTCAGTGCTCCTGTTTTACAGAGGAGGAGAATGTCTCAGAGTGACAAAGTTTTTGAATGTTGCAGAGGCAGAATTCAGAACCAGGGTTTGCCTAGGCACTCTGATAAAACCTTTATCAGGAGTTATTCTTTCAGGCTGCCAGGATAATCAGTGCTGGGGTTTCCACATGATGGTCCCATCTTGACCAACAGCTAGAACGATGTCCCTTGCTAAGAGAAAGTTACCCTGCCTATAAAGGCATAAAATTCACAATAAACATCTATAATTTTAGAAAAACTTCAGAAGGGCCAATTTCAGCAGTCAGCTGTTTTTTTAAAGTTTTTCCCCTCACTGGATAGCAAATTCTGTACCATATAGACAAATTTATGCTTTTTAAAAAATGTCTGTGCATGGTTCATGAAACCTGCCAATATACCAGTCCTACCAATGCCTCTGCTTTGTAAATGTCATCATCTGTGCAAATACCAACTTCTAATGCTAGCTCAAGGAAATTGTAAGGATGGTGTTCCTTTAGTAGCCAGAAGGCAGGCGCCTAGGCTTGTTTGGGGGAGGTTGGGGGATAACTCTTTAAGTAGAAGCTCTGGTTTTTCCTCTTTCTATGTCCAAGTGATGTGGGCAGTTCGAGTCTCTTCATTCTGTCAGTCTGAATTTCAGTGTTGTTCAAACAGCCCTTCTGGGTGTTTGCTCTCAAGGTGTTTTACTGCTCCCTGTCCATACTGAATTCGTATGGGCTGCTGTGGGACAATGGTTGAAGTTTTAATAGTGAAAGAGTTCAATAATGTTGGCCTTGAAACTGGAAAATCATTTTACTAATGTAGGATACTGGTTTGCTGTGTTACAATAATAGACAAACTAATGATTTGTAACCCATGATACAGGCAGGATTTGACTCTTGTAATAAGCTAAGTCTTTTTTTTTCCTTTAGATATGCAGAATATACCAAAGAGAAAATGAATTAAAACTTTGTTCCACAAAAGAGTTAGGCTTAATACAAGGATAGTACAAAATAAGAATTGGGCTGAATATCATACCATTTTCATTCATTTTACTAACAATCTAGTCAAAATATTTTCCTTCACTCCCATATAACTCAGATGCTTAACTATATTCTGCCATCTAAATTTATATTCTGCAATGAGGCACAGAGTGTGTGCATCAAATTCTGTGCACATGAAAGGAGCCCACCCTAGCATACTGTTATGGCTATGACAATTTAAGAAGCTACATATCACCTCACTTAAGCTATTTTGTGTTCTGTCTCCAGGGTTCAGCAGATTCCTACACAAGCAGGCCATCTGACTCTGATGTCTCTTTGGAAGAGGACCGGGAAGCAATTCGGCAAGAGAGAGAACAGCAAGCAGCTATCCAGCTCGAGAGAGCAAAGGTAACTGTCTTCCCTTCCCTTTGTTCAACACTGGCATGTTCTCAGGCACTGTCAGCTGCCCTTGCCCTTCCTCACATTTCTCTGAAAACTCATTTTCTGATCTTCTTGCTAAAGCTTCAGATTGCCAGATTCTCTGGTCCGTTCACCCCAAGAGAGGTTAGTAACATCTCCAAGGGGGAAGGCCATTCCCCTTTTTATTTTTAGTTAGATTGTGAATTACTGGTCATTTTCCAGCTTAGCAGTGTGGCAATGTCAAGCTTGTCCTGCCCATTGTTGGCAAAGAGCTTCCTAATGTGCCAGCTGTGCTCTTGCTTTCGGCCCCTTCTAGCCCCTTGTAGGTTACATGTGACCTGTTGCTCTCTGGAGCTCCCTGTTGGTTCTTATACTCTTCTCTCTCTAGGTTTTGCTATTTCACCTCAAGTTCAATGTGAAGTTCACAATTTTGTTTTTGTTTTTCTCTTTTTTTGAGATGTGGGTGGAGGACGAGATCTCTGTTCCTCATGTGTCACCCAGACCCAAACCCCTCTTTTTCCTGGTAGGAGAAGCTGTTCTTGTGGGTTTTCAGATCTGAGTCTTTTTAAAAAAATATTATACCATCCCCACCCTTGTTTGTTTGTTTGTTTGTTTTGCTTAACTCCTAGCACATATTTCTTGTATCCCAAGGCGAGAAGGTATCTATTACCATTTAAAATAGATAGCTTTTATGACCAGTGAACAAAGTAAGCTGTCTTCACCTCTCTCCATCTCTCCTCAGTACTTTTGGAGGTAGTTCTTTGAGATTTTGGAAAGAACCACAGGAGAGAAACAGGCTTGTAGGAATAAGTCATTTTGAGAGTCATCTCTTTGGATTTCTTGATGTTGCCTACAGATGCAAAATCCAGTGGAGATTCCTCTTTGCAAAGTGATTTCCTTTACTGCCTGATGCTATCAGTCATCTTATCATCCATTTAAATATGAAGAAGCCTCCTCTTCCTTTCTGCCTCCCTCCCTTCTTATTCTATGGTTGGTTCTGTCTCTAGTCTAAACCTGTAGCATTTGCTGTGAAGACAAATGTGAGCTACTGTGGCGCCCTAGATGAGGATGTGCCTGTTCCAAGCACCGCCATCTCCTTTGATGCCAAGGACTTTCTACACATTAAAGAGGTAAATGTAGGTCATACCATATCTCTCTACCTGCCAAAAATCCAAAGCCTCCAGGTATCAGCTCTGAACCAAACTAACCAGAGAGGACCCCTGAGGAGCTGCCAACATGGTGCCTCTTGTAATTTCCTGGGCCTTCCACAGCTGTTCATTCTCACCAAGATTTGAAGCCTGACATCGCCGTCTGTACTACCACACACTTATTACAATGCTGGTCATGGTCAACTTGTGAAATCCTGGGATGGGTTGAAGACAATCCTGTGGTTCTCTCACTTTTTTTTTTCCTGCAGTATCACAGATCAAATCCAGGGCCTCGCACATGTTAGGCGGGCACTGTACTGCTGAGCTCTACCCCAGCCCATCGTTTTTTTCTTTTCTTTTTATTGCAGCATTGGAAATTGAACCCAGGGCCTCTTGCATGCTAAGGTATATCTTAGCCTTCCTGGCCCATCTTTTAATCACATTGCATTGCTACAGAGCAATGCAATAAATCTATCAATCCAACTTAAAGAAATATGTTCAGTGGCATGGCTCCTACTCAGAAGGACTATAATAAGGGATTTTATAATTATGGACATGGGCTCTAGTCCTATGAACTGTGATCTTGGAATTAATACCAGAGTATATAGTCATTAAAGGAAAATGTTAAAGCTAAGAAAAGGATAGAGGACTCTGGCAAACAGGCCTTCAGGGCTTGGGCAATACAAGGACTTGTGGTTGCACATCTAGGCAAATGGAATAATGAGATCAAAGGCATTCATTTACTCAGCCTACTTCATATTGGACATTGTGCTGGGCATTGGAGGATCAGACATGAGGATCAGACACAAGGATCAATGTCCCCATGGACAGGGAGCACTGGGTTTATTGAGAGGAACAGAGAAATATACATAATTTCCACAACAGAACATAAATTCTATTATAGAAGCACTGGGTGGGTAATGTGAGAGCCCAAAGAAAAAGGAGAAGAGCCTACCTGTTGATAGGAAGAAGATCAGGGGATTAGAAAGCCCTACAGAACTAGAGGAGTCTGAAGGAGTCCAGGCCAGGAGAAGGGTAGCATTAGGCAGAAAGAATGCCTACACGCCTTCTTTTACCAGATGGGTAGATGTGACCGGCTTCATATGTTAGAGTGATAATTGTAATGGGCAAGAGAGCATTGCACAGGGCTGGTGGGACATGCCGAAGACTGGGGAGCTGCTGTAGCAAAGAGGAGGGGAGAGGAAGCAACTTGGAGAAAGAGTTATGAGGAATGTACATGGATCTGGGGATTTCACATAGATGGGAATAGTAGGGACTAGGAGAAAGAAATGGCTTCCTTGGCCAAGATAGAGGCCTCATATCCGCCACCAAAGCAGAGTAGGCAGGGATGTAAGCAGATTTGTTGCAGGCATGGATGTATTTACGAATTTTGCTTTTGGGTACCTGTATTTGGGGCATTGTGGAACTCCCCATGAAGATGCTTAGAAGGCCCTTACCTGCATCATCTGGAGGTGAGAGGAATTATAATGTGTTTTTTTCTAAGTGCTTTGAGTTAAAAGGAAGAAAGAGTTCCAGCCAAGGAAAGATATCATTAAGGCAGAAGAAACATTTTTGTAATCTGAGGTACACTTTTGCTTTTCGGGATGAGAAAGATTCTATTTTATGTGTGGAGATGTTGAATTCAGTAAAATATTTTGAAAGGAAAAAGGGACAGCTTATCAAATGAGGGGTTGGAGGAGAGGGGAGGAGACAACATCTGGAGGGTGAGTATAGGACTTAGTTCAAGTCAGGAGCAAAGCCTCACCTTCTTTGAACCTCCTTGTTCAGCATAGAACTTTCCAATGGGACTAGGGGTGTTCACTGAAGGATGTTCCCACTGGATGGTCTCCACTTGCTTTGTTAGGCATGAGGACTTAGAAATAGAATCTTAAAAAAAGGGTAGCATGAAGGAAGAACTGTGAAGTGAAACCTGAGAGTGGAAGTGGATGAAGAATGTAATCAACATAAATACATCGCACAATGACCCTGAGTCCACCGGTACTTCTCCCCAGTCCTAAGTGAGATGGTAAATATAGAATTCACTTTGAAAATTATTATTTTTGAAATTTTATCCTATAGTCCAGATCAGCAGCATGGATATTGTGGGATTGTGGAGATGGAAACCAAAACAAGGGGAACAAGGAGACAGTGGGCAATAAGAAAGGCATGTAGCATGTGCTTTGTAGGAGGTTCACACTGACCAGGCAAGGTGCGAAGTCAAAAGAAGTCTTCTTTCTAGGTGGGAACTGTTGAAGTCCTTGCACATGTTGACATTATCCATGGACAGAGGGGAGAGACAGGCACGGGGTAAAGTTTTTGAGTAGCAAGAAGAATAGGATCCAGCCCTTGAGTGGACCTTGAAAGAGGAGTACATATTCATCATGACGGTTAGGAAGAAAGATGAATGTGAACACAGATAGCTCAGAGCCTTGGAAATGACAAACTGCATAAGCATCACCTTCGTGACTTCTCCCCTCTTCATGGTGCAAGGTGATGATATCCACATTACCTAGACACAAGGAGCTTTAACCTGAAACATGCCCTAACACCTGGTTACCTTGATTCTGTCCCACCATTTGCATAAAAAAGGCCAAGCCGTATTTACTAGCTGCTAAAAGCATGTTACATGCATACTTATTCACACAAACATTCCAGCCTTGCTCTATTTTATTGCTGCCTCATATTCTATTCTACCGATTCTTTTTTCTTTATTATTATTCTAATTATACATATTTATGAAGCACACTGTGATCATTTGATATGTACATATAAAATATAATGATTAAATCAGGGTAGTTAACATTTAAATTCTTTTTAAAAGTTTTTGAGCCAGGTGTGGCACATAATAATAAGTGCTGTAATCCCAGCACTCAGGAGCCTGAGGCAGGAGGATCTCCTCAAGTTTGAGGCCAGCCTGGGTTACATAGTGAGACCCTATCCAAAAAAAGTTTTTTGATTAAAATACAATAATTGTATTTATTGAGTGTGATGCCTCAGTCCATGTATATAGTATGAGTATGTACTGATAACATTAGGATAATTAGCATTTTCCTCATCTTATCATTACTTTGAGTTTGGAGCCTTTGAGCTCCTGTCAGAATTCTAATTTGTCATCTTGGTTGCATTTGGATTACATGCTTGTTCATTGGGAACTTTGTCTTCAGTCTGGCAGTTAGATATTTGATATTGAGCTGTTAATCCTGTGCAGATTAGAGCCACTCATTTTCAGGTCTTGAAAGATCAGATAAAAATCTTAGAAAGAAAAAGTACTAATTATTTTAGGAAAATCAAAATAAAAAACATCAGAACAACAGTAAGGTAACCTTTCCAGAAAGTTGGAACAAGCTTTCAGAACATCAGCAATGCAAATGAATACATTTTTCTAATAGAATTGTAGCCCTTTTTCTCATCCATCACCTAGCCTATTTCTTATGTATTTTGTCAGTAATGAAAAAGCTTAGAGCCCAAGAAAAATGACAGTGATGCTTGTCCCATGAGCCAAATGATGACTGAATTGAGTTCTTGTATTTACATAGCAACTTTTTCCTAAGTAGCTCAGAGAACTTTCACTCAAATGAGTCAGAGTCTCCCTGCACTTTAGCTGTTTCTGAGAATTAAACCATTTGAGAAGTGTATTAACAATTTTAGGAAACCCTTTAGGGTCACTTGGGTACCATTTAACAAATTAATATTCCAGTAGACTAATTTAATTTCAGGAAATAACTAAAGCCCTGGGAAACTATGACTCATGGTCTGTTTTGTCCCCACTACAGTAAAATTTAAATTCCAAACCTATGCACCAATGCTTCTGAGGGGGTCCGCTTGCCTTTTCTTAATTACAAAATAAACAGGATCATTGTTGTAGTCCTATTTCCTGAAAGAAAACATGAGGAAAACTAAGACCTAGATTGTTCAAGATTTTACATTAGGCCAACTAACATTTCTTCAGTACAGCCTCATACTTTGTGTTCTACATGCCTTCTGTATTATGCATGCATAATAAAGACCAAATCTTACCCTATCATCTTCTTTAGAGCGTGAGGTTCTTACTCAGAATTACTCAAAGTTACTCAGAATTTCATGCTGTAATGAATCAGTGAAATCTTCCATTCTTCCTTCACAATGTGTCAGTATCACGGGCACACAAAACCTATTTTTCTCTGAGCTAAGCAAAATGTCCTACATATAGTCATTTCATTTGAGCTACAGATAGATGGATATATAGGCAGAGAGAGTTTTGACAGAGACAACAAAGGAAATCTTTAGAACCGTCTCTGGACATTTTTAAGTGTAATACCTGATTTCTAGAAATAAATTAGCTGAGCATTGCTAAGAGGCAGATGGCTTGAACTAAATTGCTTTCTACCTAGGATTCAGCAAGCCAGTAATTACAAATGTAGTTTTGCTGACCCATCACATAAGGTTATATTGGCAGAGTCTCATCCCATATGGAGCCTTGATGTGGACATGTGTCCCAGATTTATATGAAATGTTATTTAAGTGGAAATGTTGAGATTCTTGTAGGGTTCAGGCCACTTCGAGATTATTCCAAAAGTTCACATACAAGTTTTTAATATATTAGGCTTTTTAAGAACAGACTGTTTTCCTTTTCTTCAAATAGTGAGATGGGCCATAATTTGCAACTCTGTGTTTGAAAGAAAATAGACTATACACAGTATTTTAGATTTGTTTTTGTTTTTGTGTTTTTAAGATATGGTCTTGGCTGTGTAGATTGGGATGGCTTCAGACTTGCAGTCCTTCAGCTCCCCAAGTGCTGGCGTTACAGATGTGTGCTACTGAGCCTGGCAGCACTGAAATTTTTACCTGAAAACTTTTAACAAATGAGACTATTGAATGTATTTCATCTTGAGACGTACATATCTTGCCTTCCAAGTTCCATTTGTACTGATTAATATTTTTCCTGGCAAAATGTTTTCCTTAAGAATTGACTAGGGCTTCTTTACAAGTACCAAAGGAATCTAAAGGTTAGGACTTATATGTCGGAAAACTATAGTCCACAGGTCAGAGCTAGGCCAGTACCTTTGTCATAAAGAAAAGTTTACTGAAACATAATCGTGTTCACTTGTTGATGTGTGGCTGTGGCTGCTTTCACACTGGATAGAAGATTGAAGTAGTTGTGGCAGAAACCATATGGCCTGCAAAGCCCAAAATATTTATTGTCAATACCTTTGTAGAAAAAACAAACTGCAGAACTCTACTTCACTCTATTAGCCTAAAATATGTACTATGATGTATGAGGTAGAATATAATATCAGTAGTATTTATATACAGTATAGGCCATATATTATAGTAATATGTCATGTAAATACTGTTTTGTTCTTCTGGTCCCCTGAGATTAATTACTAGCATGTGTGGATAAGTGAATTAATACTGATAGTTGTTTTCTTTCTGCATTTCAGAAATATAATAATGACTGGTGGATAGGAAGGCTCGTGAAAGAGGGCTGTGAGATTGGTTTCATCCCAAGTCCACTCAGATTGGAGAATATAAGGATTCAGCAGGAACAGAAAAGAGGACGTTTTCATGGAGGGTAAGGTCCCATAAGCTTTTTTTCATTAGGAAAATCAGATGATGTTTTCAAGTTTGCCCATTTATTATGTCAAAAATATATGCTTTTAGGGTGGGGATTTAGCTCAGCGGTTCGGTGGCCTGCCTTGCAAGCTCAAGGACCCGAGTTAAATCCCTGGTACCCCCCCAAAAAATATATATATGTGTGTGTGTGCTTTTATTTTTTTATTTTATGAAAAAAATAAAACAAAATTTCACAACAAAATAAGAGAATAACAATATTTAATGCACTATATATCATTATCTTCAAAGTAGTTACTCAGACACAAATAAACTTCTTGCAAAGAAATAAACAGATGATAGCACAAAACTTTTTTCAATGAATTAAGAGAAAGTATAAATGAAATGAATTAGCTGAATTAGCATATATATTAAAGTATTTTTGACAGCATAATAGATAATTAGGGAAATAAAATGTATGCTTTTAAAATAAAAGACTTCTGTGTACCAGCTGTTTTTGAGATGGACAGCAAAGGGTTTTGGATTCCACTGTCCCCCATAGTGCGCTGATGCTCCACATCCCTGGAATCCACATGAATTCCACAGTGGAGATTCCTTTCTGTGGCCTCAGCCAATCCTTGGAGCTCAGGCTTTCCTCTGTGAGAGTCATGTAGGGCAAGTTTTCCCAGAACAGCCAGTGGAAGCCAGACTGCCTGGCATGGATTTTCTTGGTGCACTTGCAAAGGCTGTCTCAAATGGGCACAGGATGACATGGGGCATGGACAGGACTAGCAGTAACTTCTTCAGCTCTTCTCTTCCATCTCCTGCGTAGCTTGGGTGAATCTGCGTGTAGTGAACTAATGAAGCAGCCACATGGACCTCAGAGAGCTGGCCACTAAAGGTCCTAGGAATGCAAGCACAGCTTGAGAGAAGAGAGATCCAAGACACTCTGAGCCTGCAAATACTGTGCTGCATCCTGAGCTTATGCATTGTTTTAATATGCATTGTGATTTTTTTTTTTTTTTGAAAGCTCTGGGCTAGAATCTGTTCTTTCTCTTGACTTTCAACTTTCATTTTACATTGGACTCAATTTCAAAAACTCTTAAGATCCCGTTTGCTTTTGTCAGTGTTTGAAGGTCGTAGAATACAGTTAGCCTCAGCCTTTGTTTTATTTTGTTTTTGGTGTTGAAGATCAAAGCCAGGGCCTCATGAATGCTGAAATATGCTCTACTACTGAATTACATCTGCAACCTCCCCCTTTATTTATTAATCTTTTTTTAGTATATAGCATGCCTAAACTATTATTACTTATTGTCTTTCTTATTCTTCTCTGGACATTTTATCTTCCACACTCTTTCTTAAACACACTGGGAGCGCGTAGTTCTGTCTCAGATCCTTTAAATCTGCTGCTTCCTCGTACTGGAACCCTTTCCTTCACATTTTCAGCAGATTACTCCTTCATCTGGTTCATATCTTTTTTAAATATCACCTTTCCAGTAACCCTTTTTTTTTGCTAATGGTATTTAAAATTGTACCTATTCCTCTTCCCTCTGTTTCCTATACCTTCCTGGTTTGTTTTCTCTGTTACATCTATTACTCTTGGAAGTATTAAATATTTACTTATTTATTTTCTAATCACTTAATATCTCCTACCAGAATGTGATTCACTAAGGAAAATAGTTTTGTGTCCTGGCCCCAGTACTGTATTCCTGGCTTCTAAAACAAGGATATAAAATGAATATTTTAAGTAAAGATAATAGATGAATTATTATCATTTTAGACTTTCATTGTTACTATTACTATTCAATAATATCATTATATGTTTTTAAATTCCATGGCAGGAGCAGTGATAATGCCGAGAACTCACAGACAGGATCTTATTTTATCATTACACCAGCACTAGGAAATACAGTTAGCATCTACGTCTGTAGTTAGGGAAACTAAGTCTCAAAGACTTAACTATGATATGCCAAAGTCCTCCATATAGGAAGGGGCAAGGCAGGGATGAAAAATCAGACTTCTCTGACTACAGAGCATGCTCTGAAGCGCTTGAAAGGGAGGGGACACTCGGGCAAGTAGGAAAGTAAGCTGCCAAGGGCCTTGCAGGGCTCCAGGGAAATTTCCAAAGCACACAAAAGAACACAGGCTAACTTCCATATCAGGTCACGGATTATGTTACCTGTGACTGACTTTCTCTCAGTTCTCAGTTGTGACTTCCTCATACTCATGTTGAATTGTTCCTCCTGGTTTGCTGCCTGTTTTGAGCTGTGTTTGACCTCTGGCTGGCACACTGGTGACTGGTGTTGGGTTAGGAGGCAGTTCACAAGAACATTCCTGCCAGGGATTCTTTTGCCTAATTTCTGCATGGAGTATAAGTGGAACAGATACTTTTGCCAAGTATTTTCAGGTCCCCATTATTTCTCCATGTTCCCTGAGAAACGAGGTAAAAAAAAACATTTGAACAGATTCTTGAAGTTCCTCTCTAGCAGGATTTGGTGTGTTTTGAATTATTTAGTAGAATTAAGGCCAAAGAAAGCCTTATACTCTCAATAGAAAATAGTTCTATTTTCAAAGAATCTGAAGAGTGAGTCTTAAGCTCCTTTTTATATCCTAGGAAATCGAGTGGAAATTCTTCTTCAAGTCTTGGAGAAATGGTATCAGGGACATTTCGAGCAACCCCCACATCAACAGGTGAGGAGTTACATTAGTCTTTTTAATGGAATATGTTCCTTTTAAGATATTGGAAACACAAGTGTGAGTATTTTTACTAACTTGGAAATCAGTTAAAGGTTTGATTTAAAGGTTTTTTAAATTTAGTACTTGATTGTTCTTTTGATTTATATGGTAATTTGGTTTGAAGAGTACTTATGTTATAAAAATTCAGATCCTTACACAATAACTTTGAAAAATTGTGTGAACCTCAGAGATTAGTAACTGCCGACTGTGTAAACTGATTTGCAGAAAGTTCGTTACCCTATCTAAGAACCCAATAGACTTGAAGATAGTGAGGGCCAATAGAAACAAAAGACTTATAGGGCCTGGGATTTAGCTCAGTAGCTCCACTGGCTGCTTGGCTGGCAAGCACAAGGTCCCAGGTTTGATCCCCAGTAACCAAAAACAAAACAAAACAAAACAAAAACCAAAAGAATAGGAAAAGAGCTATAGACTCTGAAGTCAATGACGTATTCAGTTTCCATGTGGAACTTTGGGATTGGGTGGTACAGCCTGAGCTACAAACACTGGGAGGGCTGAAGCAAAGAGTGAGCTAGGGCCCAGATGACCTTGTTTGTCTATTTGAAGAACAGATAGCTGAGGCCTGGCATTAATAATGAAGGGACAGTGGTGGGTTCAAAGGAAGTTTATTGTGCCTTTGAAAATTATGGAGGTACTCACCCAGGAAACTTTCTTCCATCACCTTCCTGACTCTTACAGACTAATTTCATTCTGCCCCAGAACTGCTGCTATAGTAAGGTATCTGGTATTAGAAGTTCAGAACAGCGGGTCCAAGGCTGTGTTCATGCATATCAAAACTGGATTGGCTCCTTGGCAGGTCTGAGCAGGTGGTTCTTGTTCATAGGAATCATTCCTGATCTCCAGGGCTCTGAACCACAGTACACATCTAGGTGTCCTCCAAATAGACAGGACCTGCTTGAATGGTGACAAAGCTGCTTTCATCAGATACTGAGTATGTTTTGCTTCATTCTCCTTTGCTGGACATTCAAGACAAGGCAGCTTTTCACTGTTAAGAAATAGGAAAGAAGAAGAATAAGTACTTATGAATTAATTTGAAGTTTAAAAGCAACATAGTAGGAAAAAAATGCTGTCAGTATTCTATGAAACAGGCAAAATTCTATGTTATTCATAGGTATTCTATGACCTACAAAATTTTCTCTTGGTGGGTCAGGGATGTAGCTCTGGTGCTGTGCCTACCTAACAAGCACCAGGCCCTGAGTTTGATCCCTGGTACAAAA